TGCGTGTCCAGGAAAAGTCTGCAAGCACGTATTCTTCCATCAAAAGATAAAACAGTCCAATCATGACCATAAGTGATCCCCCAAACAAGCTGATGAGGATTAGCATATTATAATTATCGGTATCTGGAAGCCGACAACTTACATTAGGTTCACGTCCTCCAATTTGTTAGCTGGGAGGAGGGTGAACACGCTCATCACACAACACGAGACCACCCATGTCAAGCTGAGCATAGCATGCGATTTCAAGAAAGAAAATCCTTGGAACACCGGCCATAAAGCCCCGACCATATACAGACCAGTAAAAATTTCACGATGAATGTACGCCAGAGCCTGAGACACGGGTTAGTTGGCTATACATACACGAAGGCGGAGGGGAAATGGGTGACTCACCAGTGACTGAATAACGGCCCAATAAAGAATGAAGTAAAAGATGCAAGCCAGCACCGCGCCGACCGACTGGATATGCCCAAACAACTGTTTCCCGCCTCGAGAAAGACTGGATCGTCGTGCGTAAACTTCCTCCCAGAAAAAAATCGGGAAGAACGCGTAGGCATAGTACGTTAGTGGCGACTTAGAAATAACGAATGATGCATACATGGCTGCAAGAATAGAGGTTGATACAATGGTTCCGGTCCAGTTCCTTTGAGGTGCAATGCTTTGTTCTAGAACAAATAGGTTGATAACTATTGTGATGGCGTATGCCATCCAACCTAGGTATCCAATGGTGACGATGCCCCTCAAGAACAACCAGTCGTAGGTCTGGAGATATCGAAGACCTTGTAAGACGATAGAAATGAGAGCATTAGTTTCTTCAATGGCCTCCTCGTATTTCCCAGCCTCGATTAGGCTGCGAATCCCAATAAGCCGTTCTTCAGCAGTCTTCCCTTCCTCACTGAGGGGTTTATACGGCCGAAATCTCAATTCGGTCGCTCGCTTGTTTCCTTCCTTGACATTGTATTGCTCGATTATACATTGAGCGTTAACCAAGACAGCCTCAGCCTTCTCACGATCATTTGCGGAAAGGAAGGATAGGGGCAATTCGCCGACAGAATTTGCGGGAAACTCAGTCCCAACTAGGTATGCCATTAGAGCGGCCACGTCGGCCTGGGCCACGTCATGACGGCGGACATGATTCATGTTCCAGTCGGATGAGTATGCATCATGGCCAGGTGCGACTGTGTTGGGGTAAAGCTGAGGTTTAGCTACTCCTGAACCCCATGCGATCAATGGCGTGCGAGTGTTGTCAGGATGTCCATCTCCATGGCTGCCCCAGTCACTCATTCCGTGATCTGCCGTGAAAACAAAGGCAGTTCTGTCATCGGCGTAGAAATTCTCGATAATTTGAGCAATTTCCTTCACTCCCTGATCAACAACCTTGAGATTGTGTAGATATTCGGCAGAATAAGGGCGATAGGAGTGGCCATTTGTATCAAGACCGAGCAGATGGAGGAAAAAGACAACCTTGTCTTCACGGAGAGCTTGGTTTAGAGTCTGATTCTTTGCTGCCTCGGAAAAAAAGTCCTTGACATGGTCAAATACCCAATAGTCCAGCTCCAAGGCACCCTTGGAGAAATCCTCCATCTCCGCCGGATACATATATGCATCCACCCGGCCTGGAACCGCACCCTTCTCAAACATGGGAAGAATATCTGGACTCCCCCAACTCCAAGTATGGCGACTTCTGTTGAAGACGCTGTCAAAGTTGACTGGATTCAATTTCCAACCTGTTGCGACAGCTGAGACATCCTCGTAGAGACCAGCGATGAGGGCGACGTGGCCGGGGCGAGACTCGGTTGGTACTCGTGTGTGCGAAACACCGAAGGTTCCATGTTCAAGAATTCGAGAACGAAGAAAGGGGGCTAACGGTCGGGGAGCTAAATCGTCGTCGGTCTTGGGATATGGCTCAGGGAAGGACTGAAAAGCCTTGTCGGCGCGCAATCCATCACCTTAATGATCCATAGAAATTAGTATGCGCCTGATGTAGCAAGGCCAGGACGAATAGGGTCATGGGCTCACCAACAAAGAGGACAAGCCTATCAGCGGGGGCCTTGGTGGACGGAGCTCGCTCAATTTTGTGTAGGCGCATGCCCGACACAATTGGGCTGACAAAGTATACATCGAAGATGGAAAGAAGGTAGACAAGATGGAAGACAATAGCAATAGCTAAGAAGCTAACCCGTGACAATCCAGCCATGGCGGCGGCTGTGCTGGCACTTCGAATATTTGCGACTGGCTTGGATATTTTAAGACGAGGCCATGGTTCGGTTCAACAAGGGATTGCCGGGTTTCTCTCGTGGTAGAAGCTGATTAAAAAGAAAACAAATCAAAAGATTGACGAGAACGTCGACGATCACGACCGATGTGCAGAGGAAAAGAGCGTAGGTCTAGTCAGGGCCGCGGGACTGGCAAATCATCCAATAACGGTGATGATGGGAGCTTCTTTTAAACATCCAGGGAGCGGTGTTGGCATTAGCGCGTTCCTGATGAATTGATTGAAAGGACACGCCGCGTGGGTCGGCCAATGCGGCAAGTGGGCGCGCCCTGGCCTGTAGCAGCTACGCCTCACCATTCATTCTGTCCACACTTTCCAAGGTGAGGTGCCATTGGTCATCAGGGTTCACAGCCAATACCAGTCAACCGTCTGATTTTAATGATGAATGAACCTTGATGATGTCCCATTTTTCCAAAGTGTTCTAGGTAGTCTATATCACAACAGCCACACACGGACACTTGTCCCTACCTAGGTAAACAAGGGGGTAGTGGACATACATGATCATCACCGGCAGTGGCTCCAAGCTTCAAGGGGTATCAAACCAAATCAAATCAAGCCGCATTAAATCCAAAGCACCCAAGCTTCCCCCTCCCGACCAACTCTTTTTCTAAAAGGTCCTACTCCAGCCTTTCTGTCAAAGCTTTAACGATAACTGCGTAGAAATTTGAAGCCTGTGGCCGTGTGAACACAAGATCATCCACTAAATAATTGGGCAGCCGATCCATCAATTCACCGTCGCGGTTACTATCCAGCTGCGGTCGGTATTTGTATTTCACGTCTTCAAAGTTGTCGACCGAATCGATGCTATCTACAGCAAGTTTGAAGTGCAAAGCTGGTGACTTGAATTAGCATGCATCGTCCGCAGGTACCAGGCCTGGCCTGCCAAGTGAGTGCAGACTTACTTCCGTTCCTGCCTGTCTGAATGCAGTCAAATACATCTTCCTCCCCTTCTTGTTTGAAGCCTCGAACAATAAGACCCGTGAGATCAGTGTAAAGGTCTTCCTTTGCTTGCGCCGCATGCACCGCCTCGGATGAGGCCTGTCGACTGGCGGCCGTTGTCGATTTGAGGGCACTGCCAGGAGGAACCCTGGAAGCTGCCTCCGCATTTCGAGCAGCAACAAGCTTGGTGTTCAGTGTCTTGATCTCTGACCTGGCCTCGTCTAGGCTCGTGTTCAGATCATTAATCGTACTTCGCAAAGTGTCGCATTTCGCCTCGCTCAGGTCTAGTCTGTGCTGTGCGGCTTTGCCCTGTTTTGCCAATATTGTTTGGGTTGCAAGCTCTGCCTTGAGCTGCTCGATCAGTTTGTTGGCGGCTAGTATGACCGAATTAGTACTGCCATCGAAACGTTAGTCTTTGGATACGGGCTCACGTACATGCGTTGCTCTGCTCTGCTTGTGTTTTTAGGCGCTCGAAATTCCTCTCGGCGTCCCTGATCGCAACATCGCGTAGGTCTCTGTGCCTGGCTTCCAAGTTCGCATATCGCTTCGATAGTTCTTCCAAGCGCCTCCTCATCGATGCACCGTCGATTTCGTCCAGATCATCCGCTTGACCAACGATAATTTCCTCCATTGAAGACTCCTCGTGAAGACTTTGGTCCGCCTGTATCTCGCTGTCCATTTCTACATCCTCGACGCCTATCTGCTGCGTTCCGGGTATCTCTTCTTGGGTTTGGATACCCTTTGTCCCTGCTCGCCGGTCACTTGCTCTAATTGTCTTGGCTTTGACTGGAGGTTCTGTTGGCTGTTGCGCGTCATTTGCACTAGATCTCTTTGGCCTCCCGCGTCGAGCTGGCGCAGGTTTCTCCGGCACTTGATTGGAAGCAATTGATTGATCTTGTTTCTTTGACGCTTTTGAGACTCTAATGGTGTTTGAGCTTTTCTCCTCCAAGGCTTTCCGTGTGGTTGACGATGAAACGACGGTTTGCTGCTTCAGTCTTTGTGCTGGTTTAGTAACCCTATTGGCTGGAGGACGGCCTCGAGTTGCACGCTTCGGAGCAGGAGCAGGAGATATGGGCTGCTGTGCAGGCTGGGCATCGTGGAATTCAAGGGAATCCATATCTGGCTCTGAGTCTGACTCTATCAGGCTGGTGAGGCCGAAGGACGCTTTCGTTCGTGGTGGCATATTGTAGAAGAATAGGAATTATGTTATTTAAAAAAAGATGCTTTTGAGAAAGTTGAGTTATAGCTTTACATGCAACCTCGGCGATCCTTGTAAACATAGAAGTAAATCAGGTTCGCCGTCGGACGGTGAGAATGATAGAGGGGCTGCACAGGTCGCGATGGCAAAATTACCTAAAATGGATGAATGTAAACAGAAATATGGCTGTGGAGTTAATGCTCCAGTCTGCACAATGTATTGGATTGACCCTGAAGCTTGTGCATGCCCGCTGTTAGTGGATACTGCAGACCAACGGGCGGCACTTCTCTTGGCCAGGCTGCACCAATCGGTCTTAGCGTCTGCATGTCTCGAATGCCCACTTCTGTATCAGACCTCGGTGGCGGATTGCGTCTATCTTCCACGTTATTCGGCAGTCGATCATCAAACAGATTATCAGCATCACATCCAGCGTATCCAGTATCCCAAGACGAGTCTTTGCGCTTATACAGCAGTTATATCTGGCCGAGGCAAAAAGCGCATGCAGTCTCTCGTCTGATGCCCGAGGAACCTCTCTCTTGGCTACGGTTAGCCTTTGGGATGGGGGAGCGACGCAAACTTGGCGATGTCGCCATGGACGTCCTTTTGTTTGCGGGTGTTGTAGGTGCTGCATCAACCACCGTATATCATCACAACTAACATGCGTGAACTAGATGACAGCCGGAATTTACGTTGCTCGCAGCTTCCTGAACCCGATACTTAGCAGCTTGGTCGACCCAGAAAAAGAGAAGCAAGAGCAGGCTAGACGACAAGCAAAGGCACATCTAGAGCGCCTGAGCCGCCGACAGCGAGGGCCAGAAGATCTTGATGAGGACAGTAGTGGATCTAGGAAAGGGCCTCGGCTGGAGGAACTTGCGCTGAATGAATATGAGAATCTCATCGCTCTCGAAATGGTCGCGCCAGAGGACATTCCGGTTGGATTTGACGGTGAGTAAAGCCCTTTGCAACAACTTGCGGTGCAGTATCAGGCATTCGGGGATTTGTCTGACGATTACAGACATTGGTGGCTTGGAATCAATCATCGAAGAGATCAAAGAATCAGTAATCTATCCGCTCACGATGCCCCATATCTACTCACACGCCGGCTCTCTGTTATCTGCGCCGTCGGGCGTCCTACTTTACGGGCCTCCGGGATGCGGAAAGACTATGTTGGCAAAGGCCGTAGCACACGAGAGCGGCGCTTCGTTCATCAACCTGCATATTTCAACTTTAACAGAGAAATGGTATGGCGACTCAAACAAGATTGTGCGGGCTGTTTTCTCCTTGGCCCGGAAAATGCAACCGGCAATCATCTTCATCGACGAAATTGACGCAGTTCTGGGCACACGGAGGAGTGGGGAGCATGAAGCTAGTGGAATGGTGAAAGCAGAGTGAGATGAAATTCAATCCAAATCCAGGCATACTGTCCCTACCGGAACCCAGCTAACTCTAAGGGCTCCGCCCCATCTTTCCAGGTTTATGACGCTTTGGGATGGGTTGACATCTGTCGATTCTGCAGGAAAGCCAGCTCAGATCGTGGTACTAGGCGCAACCAATCGAATTCACGACATAGATGAAGCGATTCTACGACGAATGCCCAAGAAATTTCCAGTACCTCTACCCGGCCAAGAGCAAAGGCGGAGGATTTTGCAACTGGTCCTCAAAGACTCGAAAACAGACCCGAACCACTTCGATATCGACTATGTATCAAAAATCACCGCCGGCATGTCGGGCAGTGATATTAAGGAGGCCTGCCGAGATGCAGCAATGGCACCAGTCAGGGAATATATGAAGGAACACAGAACTCAGGGGCGATCAATGGCGCCTGTTGACCCGCGGAATTTCAGAGCAATCCGAAACGATGACTTTTTTGGTAGACGAGGCGGTCAGAGGGTCGTGGTTTCGGGGGAGCCTGCTGCACACACCAGGGTGTCCAGTGCAAGATTCCACGACGCACAGGATGAGTTGATTGTAGAGGAACAGGACTGATCTGAGCGACGCACATAATTATCGGGCACGCCTTCTACCCCCATGGAAGTTGGCTGTTCAGTTTCCTTCTTCGATTTTTCGTTCAATACGATGTGGTGATTCTGAAACCTTTCTAACAAAAACATATATTGGCATCACAAGGGATACATGTGGCTGTATAGCCAGCCAGGGAATATACCAAACATCTGGGCGAGGGCCATCGTTTTATCTGTACAATTACAAACCAATATACATCTACAGACACGCCTTTGACATCCACGGTGTTTAGTCATTCCATCGCTGTGTCAATCAACAAAAGTTTCGATGAATGGGTGTCGCTCATCGTCTGGGTGGTTTTATGCGACCAGTCAGCGTGACGGAAGCTTACCCCATCATGCTTTTTTCTACTACCAATTCAGTGGCTCGCCGGTCCCGATGGGACTCCACGACCGGACTGTCGGGCCAGTGCGTACACTGTACGTATGAGCACGTCATCGGGATTCGGTATTGCTAGTACTCGCTACAAAACCACAGGGCTTGATAACGGGGTACATGGCCCGCGCTCTAACGGCCACCACTAACGGCGGTACTCGCATATGACTCTGCCCCTCCCTCCGTACATCGGCATGAGTCCGAATGGCGAATAGCGGTGGGTGATGCATGTTTAAACCGATCTGCAAGGGTCAATTGGAAGGCATGACCAATTCCTAGCTCCTGCTTCAAACTTCGCCCGACTGCCCTGCCGCCGTTTTTCTGGTTTCCTGGCTCTCAGCATATTGTATAAGATACACGTTGTATCGTTCCAATCCTAGCATTCTCTATTATTTTTTCCATATCTGACGATTTTGCGTGATCCCAAACACTGGATTCACACTCCTCTTCCCTTGCGATTCTCCGTCATGTCCGCCCCGCCTCCACCAAATGGCGATGCCAATTCATCCTCCGCAGACGACAAGAAATCAAACCCATTGCTGAAGCGAGTCGACCTCGATGGACACGACCTTCCCCCCTCACCAGCCCCGTCTAGTCCCCGAAACGGACGTCGCAGATATGCCCTGGCCACTGAGCTAGTGTACACTGACAGCAAAGATCAATATGGTGCCTCCAGCATCCCCATTTACCAGTCAGCCACGTTCAAACAGACCAGCGCAAGCGGCGGACAGGCTGAATATGATTACACTCGATCTGGAAATCCTACCCGAACCCACCTAGAACGCCATCTTGCCAAGATTATGAATGCCAACCGTGCCCTAGCCATCAGCTCTGGCATGGGTGCACTCGATGTGATCACCCGTCTACTACGGCCAGGTGACGAGGTCATCACCGGCGATGATCTTTACGGTGGTACTCACAGGCTGTTGACATATCTGGCAAGCAACCAGGGTATCATTGTCCATCATGTCGACACAACCGATGCCGAGACGGTCAAGGCACGCATTTCGGACAAGACTGCCATGGTCCTCCTCGAAACACCTACAAACCCCCTTATCAAGATTGTTGATATCCCAACAATTGCCCGGAATGCTCACGAAGCAAATGAGAAGGCTCTTGTTGTTGTTGATAACACAATGCTCTCCCCAATGCTTTTAAACCCCCTCGACCTCGGTGCTGACATCGTTTACGAGTCAGGTACCAAGTATCTCTCAGGTCACCACGACATCATGGCTGGTGTGATTGCAGTAAATGATGTTGAGATTGGTAACAAACTCTTCTTCACTATCAACTCAACTGGCTGTGGTCTGTCGCCCAATGACTCATTCCTCCTCATGAGAGGAGTCAAGACTCTTGCCATTCGTATGGAGAAGCAACAGACCAATGCCCAGGCTATTGCCGAATTCCTCGAGTCGCACGGATTCCGAGTTCGATATCCCGGACTCAAAAGCCATCCTCAATATGACCTACACTGGTCAATGGCCCGTGGCGCTGGCGCTGTCCTATCCTTCGAAACCGGTGACCCAACAGTATCCCAACGAATTGTTGAGGCGGCAAGACTGTGGGCCATCAGCGTCAGTTTTGGTTGCGTCAACAGTCTCATTAGCATGCCTTGCCAGATGAGCCATGCGAGCATTGATGCCAAGACGAGAAGAGAAAGACAGATGCCGGAGGATATCATTCGTCTATGCGTTGGTATCGAAGATCCTGCTGACTTGATTGACGATTTGTCCCGTGCTGTAAGTATGCCCTTACATCCTCACTTGTCCTACGATGTCACGTCGGGTATTGTGTGCTAATTCATTCTATAGCTGGTTCAAGCTGGTGCCGTAAAGGTGACCTTGGACGGTTTTCACGCGACAGGTGCTGCTGAAGAGCTTGGACGAACTCCACGCCCAGCCAAATGAACTCGAAATAGCAGCCACGACGAGTTGAACCTTTCGTGATACCCTGGCCGTTTATGGGCAACTATGTCCCTTCAGTATGGTATGCCCCAAAAAAAATGAGGACAACAATGGTTAGATTCATGAGGGAAAAAAAAGACGAAGACCATTTAAACCCCGGAATAGTGCAGCGATGCTCATAATACAAATCCGGAAATGGCAACTGTATCTACCTACTCTTTTTGGCGGTTGGATTTTTTTTTTTTGAACAATAGCCTACCTATGCTTGGATATTCTCTCGAGATATTCGCCAAGCACATTACATATTTGCGGAGCAACTTCATCCGTGATCAACCAAGCCCACAAGGCGTGTTCCTTCACATGTGCCTATATGCTAAAAGGGTAGCGAGTGCTCTCTGTATGCGCTATTAGCACAGGTCGGTTGCGACTGAAGGGACTAAGGAGAGACAAATGGATATGGCACAACACCCTGTGACTTTTCTTTTTCTTACTTTGGGGGCCATTACGTGGAGTTTACTACTGGTCAAGGCGGCGTGGGTGTCTGACCAAAAAAGGACGGCATCTGATCGTTCTGTCTTTTGAGATGCCGAGAATGCTGGCTAGAACTGGAATCGACTCATACTTTATCAACTTCTCTAGCGGGGTAGTTTAGTCACAAAAGCTTCTCCTATAATTGAAGGGCGTTTTCACGAACGAAGACTACGTACGATGAATTGGAAATAACAAATGATCCTAGCAATTTCTTGGATTTCGGTTGAGGTGATCTCGGGTGAGGTGAACATATATACCTATCTATTTACACGCATGTAGAACGCTAAGCACTAAAAAGGGGCATGTGCACTATAGGGAGCATCGGCAATTGCTATTTGTTGAGGTGTAGGATAAAATTGAAACAGAAAGGTAACGATGATTCTGCTAATTCAGAAGCAGAAAACGATATAACGGAAGAAAGTAGGTCTGAGGGAAGGATATCATGTTAAACTAGGAAAAATCAAAACGATCAGGAAGAACAATAGGGGCCACCAGTGTCCAGATGTACAGCCCGTGACATGCCCAGGCACACACAATCTTGACCCAGCTTGCCCCCATCGTGCGTCCAACTGATGCAAAGTCTCCGTCCCGCTTAGTTGTTTCCCAATTGAGAACGAGAAGTGTCGACACCCAGGCGGTGGCGAGGAAAAAGATGATATGGAACATGGTGTAATTATACTGGGTCTTGGATCGTTCGTCATCACCGGCCGAGTCAGCCCCGGCATCACTCTCGTCGTCGGACAGTAATGCATCGGCTGGGAGGCTACCTTCTTCTACGGCACGTCGGAGTGCCTCGGCTCGCATCTCGCGACGAGTATTGGGTTGCTGCGTGATGAGACCATGCTCGTCATCGTCAGGAAGACGAATGTTGCCATTCCCCTCTCCACCTAGACCAAGACTCTGCGTCGCAGCTCGAGTAGTGGTGTAGGCAATAGTAAGCATGGTTACGATAGCGCCGATAACGACAGATGTGGTTCTTGTCCCCTTGGCGAGCGAGAGGCGGTTGCACTGATCATTGTCAGGCTCCATGGCGACAGCCGACATGGTCAGGTAGGTGCAGTAGATGGCCACCATGGCAGCCTGAGCGAGGCCAGCTTTAGGGTTATGCTCTTGAACAGTAGGGTTGACAGATATGACGGAAATTATGATCCAGAGAATAAGGTTGATGGTAATGACAGCCTGGTTCATGGTGCAAGCTGAATTCGCAGCAAAGAAGACGTATTGAATGACGGTCATAGCGATCGAGCCAATATACATGCCGAGTGTAGAGCCGATAAGAACGAATCTCCAAAAGCGGGAATCGGTGTCCTCGATCTTGGCCAGGCAGTATTCAGCCCAGCTATGGGCCAAATCAACGAGGAGAACCAGACCGAGGACAAGGAATAGACATGCGCCAGCACGGGCAATATAATTGCCCCAGAACATGAAAAATGCGTCCGGGATGAGGAAGGAAAGGACAATGAAAGCAAGCCAAACGATTATCTTTGGGCCCCAGTATCCGTTCTGAATCGCGGCACGAGGGTTTTTGGTCGAGGAAACGCCGAACATAAGACATCCGAGGACGAGGTGGAAGAGTCCCAGGGCAAAATTGATCCGGTGAGCAGCCAGCCATCCATAGCATTGGCCAGTAGGACAATTAATCTTTACGTAGTCGAGGGTGAGATGCTGTAGCTTTTCGATGGCCCATGGTGTGAGCATAATCCAAGACAATATCGAATTGACGAGGAGCATTAATGCGTAACCGATACGGGTAGCGACACTAGGACCTGAGTCAGTCGCCGACCAGAGGAATATTTGAAAGGAATTCTAGACAAGGTAAACCGTACCTGTTGCCGCATTTGCCGCAGGCGCTGCAGACCATGGAGCAAGTAGCCGCGCCACAACAACTAGCAGCGCATGACAAGAGCTGTATTCACAACGATCAGTTTCCATAAAGTGAAAGTACATCAAGCGAATATAGGAGATGATCTTACGGTTCCCATACTGGGCACCGCCAAGAGCGGCAGCGACAAGAAGGCACCCATGTTGCTGGACCTGGTCGCGACTAGACGGTTAATGGAGCAAAGGAGAATGCGCCGGGCGAGCGCAAGGAGCGTGTGTAGTCTTTCACGATGATGTTTCGCTGCGGCTAACGGGGTGAGCTGAAGGATAGGG